AAGTCAACATCAACAGCAATAATTAAAATAAAAATATAATAATTTTCAAAACCAATCCGCAGTGCGTTCCTGGTTTTGGCGCGACACCACCGCGTCGCGCAGCTACCCTAATGTTTATATAGAAATTTTATATAGTCAGCCAATCATTTTTTGGTGATATCTTGGTATCCACTATGTTAATTTGAACGATATAACTACCATTAGATGCATCTCAATGAGCTCTACAACTTTCAATTAATTTGTTTTGGTTGTTAATTTAATAAAAAAATACTTTTTATTCGACTCTGCTCAGATTTTAGTATATAGTTAATATCATAGGGATTTTGCCCCAAATTCTAATATAGAAATTGTGCTGATCTTATTCAGATTAGCAATTAAATAACATTTTATACTTATTTATGACGTATTGTATAGTATTGTGTCATTTTATATTATTTTTTTTTGTGTATTTTTAATACACGTGATTATTGGAAAATTTCAGAGCAGATCTGCTCTGAATTTCAAACGGTTTAAGAGATAAGACTCAATATTCTAAAGGCCTATATTATTTGGACTATTGCTAGAATATGTAATAAATGCAAACACAAAAGACCATTTCAATTAATCCTTTTTCTGAACTTTATGATCTAGATGATAATAAAATTTGTGATATAAAGCAATTAGTAAGAAATCTTACCTTACTCTCTTTATTTTTTATTTTATATATATCATAATACATGCCTATATTAATGATTTAGGATAATTACATGAATAAGATATTTTTATACAAAATTTTTTTTTGTTGACTTATGAAAAAGTGGCTCCAGCTTTATGAGACTTGATAAACAATTACAAGAAGAACCAATGACTTTACAAAATATGTTAAAAGAGATATTTTTTGAAATTACTAAGAGACTCGTGCCTGGAATTTCAAATTTTTATGAAAAACAAAAAATAAACGATTGGTTAAAGAAAAATATAACAATAAAATTTCCTCATTGGATAAATGAATATAATCTAGAACATGGTCTTTTAGTAACATCAAATAGATTACTACATAGTGAGAAAAAAGCTATAGAGTTTTTATGTAAACCCAAATAAAATATTAGTGAATTAACATTATTAAGAATATTTCACATAAAGAATAAACTAGATTTTTTATCACCATACATAGATAATTCATATAATAATAAAAAAGATTTCTCTTAAATAATGCCATTTGTTTAAGAAGACTTTCAAAATTTAAAAATAAAAGCTATTTCTTGTAATATTATCCAGTAACAGTTAGAGATACAAATTGATATAAATGAAAGTGGAGTTAAAATTTCACATTAATTGGCAAAAGATGCCAAAAAAGCAATAAATAGTGACCAACCTTACAAAGCATTAATAAGGGTTTTTAATAGTTATGGCCATTTTTTTTGTGTCAATTATATATTTGGAAATAGTTTGGAAGCAATACTAATGAAAGAAGCAATTTCTTCGTATTCAAAAATGTTAAAAAAAACTAAAGAAAATTTAGATCCAAGTTTATATGCTGACTGATTAGAAAATACTCCTGAAGAATTTAAAAGTTTTAAGTGATCCAAACAACCAAAGTATAAAAATGATTTAAATGAAATATGAAAGTAGAATTATTTTTATATGATTATTCTACTAACGATACTGAAAATATTGATGAATGGTTAAATAGTGACAATTCAGAATACCCAGAGACTTGGCATGTAGTAAAACGATGCAAACTAATACCAATATGAGAGCTTCTCGAGCAGAATGTTCAAGAGAATTGTTTAAAAACAAGCAAATATTAATGAGTGAAGAGGTGCAAATAAAATATGATATAGAATATCATTGTATTAATTTTAAGTCACCTCTAAGAAGCAATAAATATCAAATTCTTGGGTCAATTGTTACAGCTGATTATAAAAAAACAAATTTTGCTGTTAGGTTTCAGTTTATGAATTGCTATAGTTTCTTGGCAATTATAGAAAAACTTAATTTTGAATCAAGTAAAGTTAATTGGTAAAAGGATTATTTATTTATTTATTTATATATTTATAAACATATTTGTAATGATGTATTTTACTGATTTTATTTTCTAGTGATTTAAAAATTTGTTGGGTGTTGATTAGTAATCTATTAATCCTTGGCTATTTTGATAGTAAATTTGGGCACATTAAATTAATTGCTGATGAAATAGAAATTCCAGATATTATGTCTATATGTGACGTAAAAATTGATATGACGGATAAGAAAGAAAATTTTTCAACTAATTGTATTATTGGAACTTACTTCAAATTTTCTCATAACTTTGAACCTAAGTTTCAAATAAATTTAAAATTATGATACTGTATTATCTCCCATTAACCTAATGGGGCAAATAATGGGTTTAATAAGATTTGTTTTTTAATAATTATAACTAGTAAATGGAAACTATTGTAAGTCCAGAGCAAAAATCACATATGCTAGATTAATAATTTGTTTAAAATAAATTTAATTTTGGTTTATTTTAGTTTTTGAACCAGGTCTTGTCTAATTTGGGTTCAAATAAACCTAATTTTGGGTCAGTTTTGTTCAAAGGAACCTATTTACAAAATTAAATTTGTGTAACGTTACACGACATTAGTTTTGTATGACTAAAAATTATTTTTGCGAAAACAATACACTGAGCTTTTGTGTAATATACTTGCATATTTTTGCCCAATCATATTATAGTAAAAAATATAGAGGTAATTTATATATCGCCTAGGCGATATCATCACCCCACTTGATTACGTAATCACGTGCTTCATAAAATATGATTGATGATCATAGTATAACAGTAGTTAAATAGTAGCACAAAATTATGCAATAGTGAAGTATAAAAGAAAATACGATTAAAAAAAAGGGTATTCTTTTTTGTTCTTTTCGTTAGCAGAAAACAACAGTAAAGGACAAACCGAGAATACTTACGGTAATATGCATTAAATAAAGCTATTATTTGGCTATTATTTGTGTTGCACAACGTAAATATTAACAGTACCTTCAAGTTAGGCAGCATAATACGACCCCGTGTCACATTGTTACACGTGTCAAAAAATGGAAGGTGGTCACTTTGGTAGTATGTAGAAGTTTGGCTCGATTTTCGATCCAAATTCTTATCCGAAATGAAATTTGGATCGAAGAATCAGATCGTTAGGACTAGTTTTTTTTTTTTTTGGCGAAGCAGTGAATAATTATATTCTTTCTACAGATAATAATTTTACTTGGAATCAATATGATAGAAACTATCAAGGTTAGTATTATTTTATCAACAGACACATTGTAGAGCCCATGACTAAACATATATTATTTAAAATCAAAAGAATTTAACAATATTCCACCTATAGGCTTTGTTTCGGGTTCGGAACTGGGTGAGTTTGATGGTCGAAAATAATAAGCTAGCTCGGAATACTGTATATTAAAGCTATTTCATTTGATAGGCTCTTTTTTGAATCCGGAACTAGAAAACCTTGAGGCCGCTTTAATTCAATCGGTTACTAGTGAACATTTGATAGGCCCATTTTTGGATCCGGAACTAGAAAACCTCGAAGCTGCTTTAATTCAATCAGTTACACGTGAAAGCTCTTTAATTCAGTCAGTCACTGGTGAATGTTCTTTAATTCAATCGGTTCCTGGCGAATGTTCTTTAATTCAATCAGTAGAATCAGAGGAGTCTGATGGGTTAGAAACTTTGGATCGAGGTAAATTCTGTTTTTAAATTATCTTTTTCTAGGTTCGGTTTTAAAGTTGAAACTTGAAATTGATATACAATATCTTTTAACATAATTAGAGGAATTTGAAACTGTGGCACAAGGTGGATTCACTTTTAGATTCGGAATTAGATAGTTTTTAAACTTTAGGATAAAAATTTCAGGTTCTGAACTAAGTTAAACCTCTTTTCATAGGTCCTGTAGTGGGGTCAGAATTAGAACACCTTAACCCTACAGAATTTCCCTTATTAACTGAACCGGTGGAATTGACTGCTGGTTTACGTTTTCCCTCTTGGTTAATTGCTGAACATTACATTAAAGAATATGGACGACAAAGAGGATTTGCTATTAATCGTTATCGAGTTAAATATCACAAGGACTCTGATTCATCTAAACGAATTGTAAAAAAGAGAATGTTTTCTTGTGAATATGCTGGAGTTTACAAGCCTAAAAAGACAAAACCATTGGATCAACAACGTAACAAAGGATCAAAGAAAACGAATTGCAAATGGCATGTCAACCTATCTAATCCTGAAAATAGTGGTTTTGTGCACGTAGTTTTTGTATACTCAGAACATAACCATGAATTACTTGCTGATAACGCAAAATTTGCTGCGAAATTCAGAAAATTCGATCAATCAATATTAGCAGAAATTGAGCGTGCAGTTGTATATGGGCGGTGTGATGCATATACCATAAGAAATTTATTGCAACCACTGTTTCCTGATCAACTATTTTTAACGCAAGATCTTTCTAATGCTATTCAGAAAATCAAACGAGAAAAACAAATTACAGGATCTGATGCATCTCACTTGTTAAAATTTTTACTCAATCAACAAAAAGAAGATCCAATGATGTTTGTACAGCCATTAGTAAATGCAGATAGTGATAGATTGTGTGGAATATTTTGGATGACTGCGAATCAAATTGAGCTATGGTTGTGTTATTCAGATGTTATACTTCATGACAATACTTCCAGAACTAACAAATATAATTATCCATTGTCACTGTTTATAATTGTTGACAATGATGGAAAGTCACGTTTAGGTGCTCAGGCCTTTTTAAATGATGAAACTCAAGAGAGTTATGAATGGATTCTGCAACAAACGTTGAATGCTACAGGTCGTGAGCCAACAGTTATATCAACTGATATGGACCCAGCTATGGAGACAGCGTGTAAGGTGATTTACAAAAATACTTATCATATGCATTGCATCTGGCACATGTCTCAAAATTTACCAAAGCGGCTCAAGTCTAAGCTTGGAACTGCAAATTTTAAGTCGTTTGTTGGTGATTTTTGGAAAATGCGTAATTCATTATGTGTGGAAGTCTTTGAGCAACGGTTTCAAGCACTTTTAGAAACTTACTCTAGTGCTAATGAATATTTGCAAAATCCACTTTATTCAACACGACATTCTTGAGCACGTGCCTATATAAGCCGTATCTTTACGGCTGGTATGCAATCAACACAACGTGTTGAGTCAATCAATGCAATTATCCATAAAGCCGTTTCTTCCAGTTCAACTATGTCAGATGTAGTCGAAGCTTTGGATTCCCGAATGCAGAAAGAGGCAATGAATAAAGATTTTTTAGCATGGAAATATAAATTAACAACGTACCATCAACTATTTGTTGTGGATAATTTTTTCAGTGAAATTAATAGCACAATTAAAAAATACTTTTCACCACGAATTGTCACAGAAATCCAGAAACAAATGTGTGAATCAGTGTTATATAGGTGTGAAAAGTTATCTATTAACAAAGCTTTTAAATTTACTGAAGATCAATCGGTAGGTTCTGATTAAAAAAAAAAAAAAAAAAAAACTAAGCTAAGGCTATTTTTCTATTATATTTTAGGATCAAAATGAACTATGCGAAAGTCTAACTAATCCAACTCATGCTAATAATTCAGAATGCATTGAGGACATCGAAAACTACTATGATTACCGACAAATATATCTAAAGTCGCTATTAAATTCAGTTGAGAAGAATTCAGTTAAAGAAGTTTGGCAGATTATTCCTTATATGGCGCCAAGCTCGTATCAGCATATTATAATTCTTAATGATGGAACTCATTTATGCACGTGTCTATTATTGGTTTCTTATGGAGTCGTTTGCCGGCATTACTTCAAATTAATGATCGAAAATCAAGATGCTTTATTTCACCCAATGCTAATGGCTTCGAGATGAAGTCTGGACTTGTGCAGATTCTGTTTTTAAAGAACTATTTATTGGAACATCATCAAAAAATTTAAAGCAGAGTGATCACGCTCTTCAGCAATCTACATTTATTTCTAAGCATTATAATAACATCCAAGAAGTTCAGGCCCATCAACATCTACAAAAAAAAACACAATATGGTCGATTTTAAAAAAGCTTTAAACTATTCATTGAAAGATAATGACCAAAGTGGTTTAGATAATATTATATTAGCATATATTTCTGAGAAGGAAGCAAAGCTAAATGCTGCAGTACAATTGGAAAGAGGGAACATTCTTAGTGAAAATATGGATTTAGATAATATGTTGAAGTTGCCAGATGGGAACGTTTACAATATCGATGATATTAAAGATCCAACAAAATACCAAGGTAAAGGTAGACCTGCTGGTAATCGTATTAAGGCTTATAATGAGAATGAGAAGGCGAATAGTAGTGTGTCTAAAAGAGGAAATGCTTCTAAAAATCTTGAGAACACAGTAGGAAATGATAATACCAGTGGACGTAAATGTAGATTGTGTAGTAAGACAGGACATTATGCACCCAAATGTCCTACTAAGGAAAGTTAACTATATTTGATAGGAATAACGGTTTGTATATGTTATTAGAATTACGATGCATCTAGTTCAGTCTGTGCCAAAGTGATTTTTTTGCATTTTATGTGGTCGTAATTCATGTTTATTGATATTGATATTGCTATATTGATATTGCCTTATTGATTATGCTATCGAAGTACTTTATGTATAAAGAGCTAATTTTAATTCATATAAGTTAACTCTCTACTAAGAAATATGGGTGTGTGGAGACACAGTTTACTCTATGATTTCCGAAAAGAAAATTTATACATCTGATTTAATCAGGCACAGTTATTTTCTTTTGGCGGCACCCATACGTAATATATATGTCATTATTGGTTAGTGTGATAAATATACGAGTTGAATTATTAGAAATTTTCAGTAGGGTAAGTTAGTGCGATAGTGTGTACGTACGTACGTACAGTACGTACAGTACGTAAATATTTGAATTAACTGTTAATACTGAATCGTGTAACATAAAATTTATACGTATAAATTACATTGAGTTAATCGCATATTTGATATTATATGTCACACGAAAATTGTACTATTGCAATACTGGCCAATCAAATTGTATCCCGTGATATGGGCGATGAATAACATATATCGCACTATGCAATAAATAAATTTTTTCAAAAATATATATATAGTTTGTCATGTTACACAATATGCAAGTGACAGACAGAAATTTCAAAGTTACCTTTTTGATGTTTTTATTATAAATATATCAGAAACAATACTTTTAAGGCATCAAAAAGGTAACTTTTGTATCACTTTACCTAGAAATTAAGAGTCCTTCGCTACGCTCCGGACAATAATTGTACTGTAGGTCATGTAAGAATATCAAATTAGAAATTTTAATTATCTAAATGAAGAAAAAACTTTATCACTAGAAGATGCGACTCTAAAATCTGAGCCAATTTCATGTAGCTTAGCATGGTATGTATTAAAGTAATGCAAGAAATGAATCAAAAATCAACACCCTGGATACGTTTAGGTCATCATCTAGGCCAGGTATTTCAAAATTATTGTATATATTTCTTTTCTAATAAAAATTACTTTTCTACTCTTCCAACCAAAGTTTTGTTTCTATGGTATATCATGAATAAACCAAAGAATTATGTGAATTTTTGAAAAAGTTGCTTGAAGAAAATAAATTAATTAATTTTTTTGATTATACACAATTTATCGATTCTCAGCAAAACATGCATAGAATAAATTACGAATGGAACGGTTTAACAGTCATTCTAAAAAGTTTAAATCTTGAAAATATAAATGAAAAAGATTTTCAAGTGTTTGTTGATAAGGTATTATTATTAATTATTATTAATTTCTTATTAAATAAATTTTACTTGAAATTAATTTTTGAATCAATCGCTTAGCTTCAACATTTACAAAAAGTCCGCGGATTTCATCATATTTTCATTTTTTTTAATTTATGTCTTTTCAAATTTGCATTTAAATCACTTAATAATATAATATTATACGATAAGTAGACCCTACGACAGATAATTATTATATGATTCTTCAATTTATTAATGGCAGAAATTTACAAGAATATCTTAGAGAAAATAATCCAAATTTTGAAATAAAATTACGCATTGCGAGAGAAATATCCCAATGTTTAGACGTTCTACATAAGCACAACATTATTCTTCAAAATCTTGTAAGATTTTTTTTAATATTACATCAATCTCAATGCCAAACAAATAAAAATCACTAACTGTTTCATTTATTTCATTTAGAATTCTAAGAATATTTTGATTCAGAATGACTCGGCAGTAGTCTCAGGTTTTGGATTAGCAAAGTCATTAAGTAATTCAATGTCAAATACATCATTTGGATTTGAACATTTCGGACCACCACACTGTTTAAAAAATTATTGTGAATGTGGCAAGGAATCAAACATTTATAGATTTGAAGAGATTATTGAAGATATATTTAATTCTACTGAAAACATCTAGTAAATGTGTTCAACTTTCTTCAAAATGCTGCAGTCCAGATCTAAATAAAAGGCCAGCAACAAATTCAATATATGAATATTTAAAGAAACAAGAATTAGTATTACTAAAAAAAAAATCAACGACCCAAATTAGCATTTTTAATATAGCAAAAGTATTTAAAAAGTCTATATGGGAAATTATATTGAGAAGCAAAATAATCAAAGAAGAACATGCTATAAGAATTGCTACTTGGATTAATGAAACAACGTTCATAGCGAGTAGTATTCCTAAATATGAATTTAAATTACTTTTTAGAGGTAGTAGAGATGGATTCACAATTGATGATTTTTATAAACTGTGTGACAACAAGTCAAAAACAGTAATTATATTAAAAGTTAAAGAATCTGACGTAGTACTTGGTGGATATAATCTTGTTGCGTGGAAAAAATTTTTCTGTAAGAAATATGTATTAGCAAAAAGTAGTTTTATCTTTTATTTTGAAAATGATAAACATTCTATTTACCAAGTTATAAATACAGACAAGGCTATTCTTTATGATAGGGGCTATGGTCCATCTTTTGGCAAAACTGATCTTTTTTTCTAACGCTGATTCTTATATCCCAAAATGGCAGTGCAAAGAGAAGTGCTATGAAAAATTAGATTTTGGGTTAAATCTAGGTCAAGATAAAACTTTTTATGTATATGATTATGAAGTATTTGAAATACATGAAAATCGTTTCAATATTTAATGATTTTTGCTTCAATAAAATATTTATTGTCGAATAAATCATATTAATCCCTTTTATCTATTACTAGTACGTATAATTGCGATTTATATTGAAAACCGCTTAATACATATGTAATATGACATTTTTAATAGCGTACGTTACCTTAGAGGATCATACCCCTTATCCTCAAGAGGGATCACAGGATTACTGCACTAAATGTGTCTCCATAAATCAGCAGAGAATACACATGCATGCACAGATTGGCTTTAAGTTATGATGCTTATTCAGGTTTAATGATGATTGTAAGGAGAGTGGGATCATTATATTTATTACAATGATTTGAATTAGAAGAATTCTTCTTTAACACGTGCTCTTCTTTAGTCTTCTCTTTCTTCTCTAACTTATTAATCAGAAAAGAACATATTCCCATATTATACCCTGTCACGGTTCCCTGTAATGTACTTTTTTTTTTTTTGTTATTTTCTATTCGGGTTCATTCCTTATTATATATATATAAACGTTTATTACGTATTTGATTATTTATATTGAGAGTTTAAGACTCGTGGGAAACTGTTGGGAAGTCATCTCAGTAAGATTTCGCATGGATCTACGACTGCGCCCCGACCTAAATTGGAAATTATAGCGAATTGTGTACGATTTCTGTATACAATTGAATGGATTATTTGTGGAAGTAGCGCACTTAAGCAAAGTTTTGTAACCTAAAGTGAAGTATGAGTAATTTGTAGAAATGCTTGTGCGAGTTGGAGATAAATATATGTATGTTAAAGAGGAATCGCGTCGACTAACATCATGTATAAATTAACCCACCAACTGACCTCAATAAAGCTCAAATTCGTTGTGAGTCTAATTGAAACATAGAAAGGAGGCAGTTTGAAAGTCCTATTGTCCTAATCAAGTTAATTGTCATCTTGTCCTTGCTGTCATGGATCAAACTTTTAACCTGTGATCTAGATGTGACTTAATGGTACTAAAAAGCTCAACTGATTCAAGCTACTAGAATATTGTGAGGCTTCTATGTTGTTATTGAAGGCTTAGAGATTCGTATTAATTCTGGTATTATTTATTACAATCATTCGATAAATAGTAAATATTATCATACAATGGGTTGTACAGTATATATAATTATATATAACTAGTGCATTCGCGCTGCCCATCTTATTTAGATAATATCTATGAGTTACATGTAAACGTAATAGCTATTGTTGTATACACAATATGTGACTAAGGTAGATTAGCTTGCATTAGATTTATCATGATTTCAACCATGATAACTGTTATTATTTTAATATCCAAAAATATCATTGATTGATTAATGATTAAATAATATTTATTGAGACCGTATAAAATTAAATTAGCACTAATGAATGCATTACTCTAAATCTAAAAACTCAAGATCACATCATTAATAATCTTAATAAAATACCAATACACAAATTAAAATAAAAATAAAAAGGATGAAAAACGGAAATATGAATTATCTATTTTTTCTTTTTTAAAAAGACTATATAAATAAACTCTTAGTTGTGCATAATAACAGTTAATTAATGCCAAGGGAATATTACTGTAATTCTAAATTAATAATCTTAGACATTAAAATTATTTTAACCTCTTAAAGCTTACAATCTCATACTTTCATTGTTTCATGTCACTAATAAATTTAATGGTACGTATTGCATGTCTTCCTTTGGAAGAATAGATATTATAAAAGTGTAATCCTTTTGAAATGTGTATTGTATTTATTAAGTAAATTATTTTGATTAAATCAAAATGTCTAAATATAACTTCATTAACTTCTGAATTATTTTTGTCAATTGTTAAATCACTTTATTATATAAATAGAGCCAAAGGTATGGTTTTTAAATTATATATTGTAATCTTCTAGACTTTGTATACATAGTCCTGAATCTATTTGAGCATTTTTGTGACAGCAAATCATTAATAAAATATTATAATACAATTGACTTTGAATTATCGCGACTTCTATCATGAATTACAGTCAAAATTCTTTTATAACTTACTCGCAATTCCAGTGACAACAATGTGGTTTAGGTTAAGTTAGTTTGCATTTGAAATTATCGTAATTTTTATCATAAAATACTTAAAAAATCTGTTATAGAACTTTATCATCCCAGTGACTACTGAAAGAATGTAGCTGAATAAGTTTACATTGTAATTTCAATCGTGATTTCTATCATGAGTTACTTAATTCTGTTACAGAACGAGGTTTACAAACCAACCCAATACCATAACAATCCAAGGAAAATATATTCAAACCTGCTTAAAGAAGTGGGGTCTGAACATGAAAAAGAAAAGTTGACCGAAATGACAGAAGAACTAGCTAAAGTATTGAAAAATACAGAAAAAATAATAACCAAAGAAATCCGAAGAGCGAGATTATTAAAAGCATCAGCCCAGAAGAAAATGACACCGTATAAACGAATAGAAAAACAAGTAAATAAATTGGAATTCCTCTTAAAAGGATATATGTATCTTACAATATTCAATAAAGAAGACCGGTATGAAATAGCAATAAAAATGAAACGAAATCAAAAGTAAAGGACTTAAACAAAATACCAAAACATATATTCGAAAAATTAAAATCAACATTATTTTATTACATACAAACAGATAAACACCAAGTTACACTTGTAACAATGGAATTCCTTATGAACGAATACAAAGAACACCCGGTGAAACAAATCCGACCACCTACGAACGTGCATACGTACGTACGTACGCATGTGAATTGTAACGTAGTACATATCTTTAATAAATTCGATGCTTTCATATCGATATGTGACACATTCTTTCTTGCGGCAAGATGTCAGTTTACAACAAACAATTTGTTAAGCAGCTAAAAAAAATTGTTAAAGAAATGTGTAATCTGTATAATGAAGAAAGTTTGAAAGGCCAATATTCCGATACAATTCTTAACACATTAGAACAATTTCTAGTAAACAAAAAACAAAACCCAGTTGATATTATCAATTTTTGCTTAAATGATCATACCAATCCTATAATTCAAAACATTCTCGCAAGTTGTTATTATTATGGTAAATGGGTTGAAAAGGATGAGCACAAAGCATACATTTATTATCAAAAATCTGCCGAAATGGGAAATTCTGATGCAATAAATAACATTGGATGTTGCTATCTTAATGGAACAGGAGTTGAAAAGGATGAACATAAGGCATTCACTAATTGACAAAAATCTGCAGAAATGGGAAATTCTAATGGAATATATAGCCTTGGATATTGTTATCAATATGGAATATGGGTTGAAAAAGATGAACGTAAGGCATTCGTTAATTATCAAAAATCTGTTGAGATGGGAAACGCTACCGCAATGAATGACCTCGCAGATTGTTATCGAAATGGAATAGGAGTTGAAAAAGATGGACAGAAAGCATTCGAATATTATCAAAAATCTGCTGAATTGGGAAATGCTGCTGCAATAATTAATCTTGGTAGTTGTTATCTAAATGGAATTGGAGTTGAAAAAGATGGACAGAAGGCATTCGAATATTATCAAAAATCTGCTGAAATGGGAAATGCTG